AACCATTATACCCTGATTTCCCATTTTCAATGGGTTCAGGGTATAAAAATATCTATGATATCTATAACGGAAATTAAAAAAAAAAAAAAAAAAACTAAATTCCAGAGCTTTCCATTTAACTATGCTATAGTCTTTTTTTGTTTAATTCTCAACTGTTTACCTCTTTGACGTAGCTTTTAATTTTCTGCAAATACTGGCATGTTTGCCCTTTCTATGCAGGGGCTACAAATAAAAAACACACACTCTCAACTTAACTGCCCAAACTTCAAGAACAAAGTTTAGCGCGAAAACTTTCTGAGGGCCGATAATAAAACATGCCACAGTTGCGGTTATTTTTGGCCTTTTTTTGCGTTTCCCTGTACCTTCTTTTCGGTTAATGAAAGTGGCAGTAAATGAAATTGGCATCACGTTATTATTCTTTTGCCTCTTTGTTGCTGTTGCTGTTGCTGTTGCTGCTGGCCAGACATGTGGGCCTCGCAAAAGTTTATCTTATAAAACAACAACAAGCACTTAAGTGTTATATGCCACCGTATTACAACGGACGGAGGGCCCAAAGTCGCGCTCAGAACGACCCAAAATGCAGCGTAGCATAAATGAAAGAAAGCTGATAAGAAAAGCAACAGCAGCATGCCTACAGTAAAAACAGAAAAAAATCGAATATAAATAAAAAGAAACCCTGCTAAAAAGGCGGCACAAAATTGCTGCCCGCATAAAGGTAGACGAACAGCCAGGGAGATGTGAGAGGGATCGCGCTGAATGTAATAATAAAATAAAACAGAAATTGAATGTTGCGATTCGTTTCCGTGGCGTATCCAGGTGACAAGCAATTCCCCACAGGTGAAACAGTTAAGGTGTATATATACATACACACATATTAGCAATTGCCCTTAGCGCTATAAAACAAGCTAAACATTTTGACATGGGTTGCAGCGCTCACCAAAGCTGTGGGTAGGTGAAAATGAGGTGTAGCCGTAAAGTCCTAGCGGCTGACCCTTTCTGCGCCTGGGTGTTGCACCCATGTCACTGCACTGACAACTGGCGTTAACCAACCTGGAAAGAAAGTCAGAAATCATAACGTATCGTCTCATATCATATCATGTCATATCGCAGCGCTCATACATACGTTTTTAATGAGTTGCCGTTCGTTTTACTTTATATACATACATATGTAAATATATATTTTTTGTACTTTTGCCTTTTTACTTCTGTTGCCTGGCATGCAACGAATATTGCATTTCCGCTCATCATTTCTGGGACTTTCTTATCTGCCACAGTTTGGTTACTTATCAAAGAGAGCTTCTTGGCGTCTGTCTGTCAGAGTCTTTATGATATGTTTGCCCTTAAGTTGAAAGTGCCAAAAAAACACATGAAGAGATATGAATTGCCGTCTCCGGATTTCGCGTTTGCCAATTAGCAGCAGCTGCGGCCATTGGCATGCAAATATTTACGCAGCAGAACTTCCAAGTGGATGCCCAACTTCGCCAAGAGCATTAATTGATGTGCTTCCAGCGAGTGTTCCTATTAGTAGATACCCTCTTCTTGCATTATTAACAAATTCTGGAAGAGAATGGTGCAAATGTATATAAACTTGATTTTAAAGAAATTTATCGTTTCCTCTCAATGATCATACTCTACAATCTATCTGTTTATAAATAGGAAATTCGTTAAATTACACAGTTAATCAGAATTGAAAATATATACATATATACTTTACCTTTTCATTTAATTTACCTAAGGCAAAAAATGAATATACATATGTGCGTAATTAAAACACTTTAACTATGTATTAAAATATTTACTTACAAAACTGTGACATATTCCTCTGCTGTAAGAACTGCAATATACCCTGTTAATTCTATACGTTTTCTTGAATACCTGGTATACTGGTACATACATGCTCACACACACACACACACACACACACACACACACACAATATCAGCTTGCGTGTGTGTTTGTCTGTGTGTGACATGAGACATTATAATGCCACATTATGTTGCTAGTGCGTGAAAGAACCGTACATCAGAGCACAACATCCATAAATCAAAATCCACAAACACATGCGACGTTGTTGTCTATGCGCTGCTCTTGGCTCTTAGCTGCGCTGACTGCGCAGCATGCGTTGACTTCGCTGTCTGCGTGTGTGCAGCTTGTTTGTATCTGCTGCGAGTATTCGCAAAAATTATTACACTTGACATGATTGAATATACCGCTGAGTATGCGAGAACATACATAACTGCAGCCATATGGATACACACACACACTTACAATGCAGAGGTACCAGTTGCTGGACATTGGCCCACTCGCAGCGCCCGTGCCCTCCAAGTGTCCACGGCTCTTGCTTGTTCTGCTGCTGCTCCGACGTCTGTGGCTGCGACTGCGGCTGAACATAGTTTTTGCGCTGTCCCAGTGGGCAATTCCCGTATCGCTGCATGTGTAGTGTGTACCAAGTTGACATGGCGCATAAATGTAAGTGGCCACAATGTTGCACACAGTACTGTACGCCGTACTAAATTTTCAATTAAAATGGTTTACAAAAAATTCACTTACTTAACAGCGAATGGCAGTTGTTCAAATTGGCAATGTTTGCAAAAAGTATCGATAGCGATATATGCTCAAAGCATATGTTTTGCTCTGTTAAGCGGCTCAAATGAAAACAAATTGACATATATATATATTTTTTAAAATAATTTCAGCTTAAATAAATTTTAGATTGAACAAAAAACAAAGAACTTTTTATAAAGATGGACCAACATCAACAATTGCAGCCCTGGCTACACTATCCATATCGATATCGATATTTTAAGCGATATTATTTAAACACTAGTAACAACTGTTTCAAATTGTGGGATATTTTTGTCATAATGGCCTTTTAAACTTTTCAATCATTACACACAATAGAACACAACACAACACACACCAGCACACACTCTCCGTTTAAATTCCACCCCACCTGTCCGGATTGTGCAAAATTTTAGTGAGTCGAATGCAAGTTTGTTGAAATTGGCATCGTAAATTTCAGCTGTTGCCATGTGTTTGGAGACCACATTGACCAAAAACAAGACATTGGCTCTGATCAATCAAGGGTACAAGGTCCTCGCCGAGTATGAAATGATAGAGAAGAAGCAACTGAGGGGCATCTATGCGTTACCCAGCTACTCCAGTCTCTTGCTTTGGTTCGGTGTGATATTCATACATAGTGGGATGTATTCGGAGAGCGCATTCCGCTTCTCTATTCTGTTGCCCGATAATTTTCCCGACGAGAACTGTCCGCCCACTGTCATCTTTCAGAAGGACATCTTCCATCCGCACATTTGCCCCATATCGCACAGCCTAGATCTGAGCCCCGTTTTTAAGGAATGGAACAAGGATCATCATCATATTTGGCACGTACTCAAGTATATTCAAGCTGTATTCGCCGATCCCGAGGGCAGCGTCTGCAACTCCCACGACGGCGAACCGATTGCATTGACGGATGTCAATAATATGGAAGCATTGCGGCTCTTGGCCAACAATCGTGTGGACTTTGCTCTGCGCGCCAAGGCTAGCATTGTTTGGAGCTGGAAGCATATGTTCGATAAACCGCCAATCAATGACCCACATTATATTATTTTTGAACGCTATCGTCCCGAAAAGCATCAGGCCATGATGAAACGCATCAAAAGCAGTAGCTGGTACTCTCTTCCGACGTCGGCGTCGCCGCCCTCGACATGCGTGGCCCGCATCGAATCTGCTCGGCAATTGCTCGCGGAGGAAGAAGCTCAATCTAGAGGATTTAATAGCCTGGAATTAGTGGAGTGAGCACGTGACTAGCGCATTTTTATTTGCACAAAAGTGTACTGGTCAATGTGCGTGCACCCTAGTTGTCGTTGAACATCATACACATACATATATGTACATACATAGATGTGCAACACTAATGTTAAGTATATTACAAATGATGTTCTGATTGTGTGTGGACAATAATCAAATTTAAAAGTAAAACTGTCATATTTCCCTACCAAATTAACATATTGGGATATTGGTTAACATCACTTACATATAACAGCATGTTAACTTTAGCAGCAGCCAACAGTATCGATATCGATACTCTGCGAACTTTTTTATTTATAGCACTAACCAAAGTGTTTATAGTCCAAGCTATGTATGTATGTTATTTTACATGCTTCAGTAATTATTTTAATTCTGTGGAATGTTACGTAGTCGACGCTTGGCATTTCTCCAATTCCATAAACATACATACACACATACTTATGTAGTTAATTATATCGGTAGCAGTTAATTACAATAGCAGTGCAAAAAGCATCTCTGTAACAATCAACTCGTCGTATTTCAATTTCGCGTGCTAGAAAATTTTAGCAAATTTTTGTTATACATAAGTGCTAATTAGTGGAAAATATGAAGTGTGCAATTAGCTAATCAAATGCCACTTAGTACGTGCGCGTATAATGAGTTTCAATGTGAACACTGTGTATATCATACATATGTACATACATATGTATGTGTATATGTATCTGCCGTGTTTTTAAAATTTGAAGCCAGCAATTCCTATTGGGACAGCATATCTACAATGCATGGGTGTGCGTTTGTAACGCCTCCTTCTCTAATTTAAAGCATTAAAATACATTTATAATTACATGTACACATACTTTAAAATAATATATATTTTTCTAGTGCTCTACATCGATCAATTAGTGTTTTACATTAATTACATCACATTCAACGCTCTATGTTTTCATGCTCACGGCTATTCTTTACATATGTATTTAAATGCATACATGTATGTACATACATATGTATGTGGATGACAATTGTATGGGTGCGTTGCTAATTAAATGCGGTATATTCTGGAATAGTACTACATGTGTGCATGTATGTGTAATCGCAATAATAGAGCCAGAACAGTTCGCAAAGTCACCAGAGTGGGAACAGTTTTCGATTCAGAATAATCTGTTCCCACTCTAAACTGATTATGTTAAGTGCTTTTATAGAGGGAACAGATTATCGTAGATACATGTGTATGTAATGTTTGTATGTTAACTGTTACCAATTGTGATTAAATGGCGAATATTGCCTTAAAAATCTCAATAATGTTCAATGTCCCTTAGAAACTGTTACAGTTTGTTTTTAATTTAATTTTTTTATTGCTCTGACGTTTAGAGTGCTGCGCTATATTAATGATTTCAATATTAACATCTATAACATGGAATTATCTTCAATAATTATAATTAAGCATCCTATTACCTGTCGCCAAAGACGTCACACAGTTACCGTTACAGATTGTGGCAACTTGTGCAATGTGCTGCAACTGCAACTGCAACTGCAACTGGTATGGCGAAATATTAAAAGCTCGCACGCCTCTGCTCTGCTGGTGGCCGTCGACAGCTGGTGCAAAATATACAAAAGTGACAATTTGATTTATCACTGCACTTTGTCCTGCAGCAGAGTCGGACAGTGAGAGAGAGAGAGAGAGAGAGAGAGAAATAGACCAAGAGAGGTACATAGTGTGTGTGTGCGTGTGATAGAGAGCGAGAGAGAGAGAGAGAGTGCCTCTCTTTTATGGGCCTGGTCGTTAGGCAGTTGGTTGCGTATCCAAAAATCGTTCATGAAATTATGGATGCGAATGCAATGTGCCATATTTTAGGCCATTTATGGTTGCCAAGTTGGCGCACATTTAGAGTACAGTGAAGTTTGAACTAATGGAAAGCTTTATTAAACAACAATTATTATTTAATTAGTACAACTTTTCTTAATATAGCAATATATACCGAGAGAGATAAAGAGAGAGATAGAGAGAGAGAGACTTTATATATATTTATATATATATATATGGTCAACTTGCATGGCAAAGAGTCCACCAAACGCAATCATTCTATGGCTTGACGTCTACTTGGTATTATTGAGCACAGAGCTTCCTTGCCAGCGAGCTTTTACTGTAATTGCCTGTCTGGCGGATACAAATACGAGCAGCTTCCTTCCCACAGAGACATGAAAGATGCTAAGTAGACAATATGGCAAATGCACGCCAAACAATTTTGGTGGTCTACATTTCAATGGCCTCGACTTCATTCCATTTGACTATATATCCATTTGGTCTATCTATTCGACTCTGCTGCTATCTTTGAAGCTGCTAGCCAATTGGCTGTGGCTGCTTCCTGT